GAGAGAGGGGGGGAGAGAGAGAAAGAAAGAGAGAGATAGATAGAGAGAGAAAGAAAGAGAGAGAGAGAGAGAGAGCGAAAGAAAGAGAGAGAGCGACAGACAGACAGAGACAGAGACACACATCAGTATAATGTCACCAAACGCGACGTGTCGCCCGTCTAACGTACTCACCGCGTCTACGCTGAACGCCGTCCGCGGGTAATAGACTGACCCGCTCTCGTCGCGTACGTCGTTCGGCGACTCGGCGTGCGTCACGTTGTTAAGCTCGCACAGTTCCTCGGCCAGGTGAAAATTGAAACTCTGACAGGTATGATCGTTGAGGCAGAAGCGAGCGCATAGCGGCAGCAGCTTGACACCCTCGATGTCGCGAAGAGTGTGTCCCCTCAGGGCGCGGTCGCGAAACTCATGCAGGGTCTCGTCGACAGTCCACTCGTGGAACGTCGTCGTCAGAGCGTCTCCGAGTGCCACGCCTAGGCAGCTCGCGAGAATTAAACAAAGTCCGCTGATTCGACTCATCGTCTCTCGTAAAATGTTGCAGCCTTACTGGTTTCCCTCCGTCGTTGCATCTCGAAATCTCGAAAATCTCTCTTCTTGCGTGTTTTTTTTTGCTGCGGTACTTGCTGTTCGATGAAAATTTTTGATTGGAGTGTCGGCGGCGGGCGGCGCTATCCGAGACCGTGCGTTGTGTGCATGTGTGCGCGCGCGTCCGCCACCGGCCAGCCATCAATTATGCAAGACTAATGAACTAATGGGAGGCAGGTAATTTCACTAAGAGTCGCTCAAGGTTGTTGGATTCCGATGCACGGATGAGGGGACTACGACTAACGAAGACTGTTCGCTCCCCTCGGTGTGCGGACGGCGGCCATGTTGGATCGGGGGCTAGTTCATGCACCGCCCCTCGTCGCCGTGACGTGATCGAAGATGGGGGTTCTATTGATGAGCGTCTGTGATTGATGCAGTAGTGGGTTACCTGGGTAGCTGGGGGTGGATTGGGGGACAAGAGGTTGGCACTGCTTGTGAGTAAAAGACGCCATTATGTCGCGCCGCGGGGGTCATTTCTCGCATGGTTTAGATTTCGCACCTTTAGATATAATTACACGGCTTGTTATAACATGGTTTCGGAAGTCGATCACGATGAAGGAATTAGATGAATATGATCATGTTCCAATGCGCGCCTTTCTTTATGTTCGATTCGACTGTTTTCATCCTAGATTATTTCTTAACTTGATTAAACTAATTCATGCATTATGCATACATTTTAATTAAAGGAAAGGGTTACCTGAAGATCTCTAAATGATGGGGGTATATAGACTAGACAGTGTCACATAGCTTGCTAAGCTTGTTAACGTTTTCCCGATAGTGTAAGTCGGTTATATGCAAAGTATTAACACTCGCGCAGCATTCGACGATTCCTTTATGGATATAGATTGGAGATTATTCAGCTAACAAATCAAATACTGATATTTTTAAAAGGTCCAGGTGCGGGAAAGGGCTACTCCGAAGCATAATGCTCATAATTAATTGATTAATTAATTAGAAGGTGACAGACTTCCCCATATATCACAAATGCCTATATAGTGTAACCTTTAATGTAGATATGCGCTATAGACACACATGCACACATACACGCACCCCATATATATATATATATATATATATATATAATTCTTTCTTTTTTAATTCAATCACTTTACTTACAATTATGGCAAATACATTTTGAAGGTATATCTATCTATCTATTTATCTATCTATCTATCTATCTATCTATCTATCTATCTAACTCTCTCTCTCTATTTATATATATATATATATATATATATATACTGGATAGATATACCTATATATATACTTATATCTATATCTATATATATATATATATATATATGGATAGACAGATAGAGAGAGAAAGAGTGGGGGGGAGTGAGTGAGATAAAGTGAGAGAGAGAGAAGGAGAGAGATAAACAGCGCGCGTGATAGACAGCGCATATAATAGGTATTTCAATGCCTATCTGCTATACAATACAGACCTCATATTTATCATCGATAATTTAGATCATGCACATTAATTATGTTTTGCAATATAGTGGTGAACAACATGACGGCTAGTTGAAACAGTTTGTGATGAACGTGCCTCGTAAAAAACATACATGACACTGTCCTAACAGCGACGAGAGTTTTTTTTAATACTAGGTGAACTTTACCAGCGCCCATTTTAGCGTGAGACTCGAAACACACCGTGGAACACTTACAAAATAACGTTCTACTAATGCAGCGGTACGAAGAGCATACGAACAATTGAAGGTTGTCCATTGCTTATAATTTGATAAAAGCCGTGCCGGTGAGAGACAAGTTAAAGTACAAAGCAAATAAGACAAGCTGGTCACGGCAAGATTAGGCTGATAGGGACGTGTCGTGCGCAATGAATCAAACGTCGCCTAGTTGTCAATTCGGCTGCGGCTGTCACATATAAGGAACAGGTGGTGCGGGGCGCAAGTTCACATTCTCACGTTGTCTCCGACATGTCGTTTCTTCGAGTAGCGCTCGCGGTCCTGGCTGTAGCCACTCTTGCTTACGCCAGAAATCTGGGACCTGGCCTACTCCCCGATTCTTCGATCCCACAGGGTAAGTTAAAATGTCTTTATTCGATCCAGCAACGCACGCTTGCTACGGCGAGCATGAATGTAGATCACTACGGGAGAACGCAAGTAGACTGCGACCGATCTGTATGACAAAGGGAGCATTATTTCTGTGCCCATCGTTCACGTATATAGGATGAGATTTTCTCCAGTTGAATCGCGATGAATGATAAGTAGATCGTAATGTGTGCTGTTTTGATTGTGTGCGTGCGTGTGTGTGTGTGTGTGTGTGTGTGTGTGTGTGTGTGTGTGTGTGTGTGTGTGTGTGTGTGTGTGTGTGTGTGTGTGTGTGTGTCTGTTTGTTTGTTGTGTGGCGCGCGTGCGCGTGTGTGTGTGTGCGCGCGTGTGTATGTATGGATATAGTAATATATTACATAGGAAGTAATAATCTACCTATTATCTAACTCCTGATATATATGTATATATATAATATAAAAAATAATCATCTTCTGTCTATCCAGCCTGCGATGGAGGTATTCAAGCGATTATCGGGCAACTGAACATTTCCCTTGTTGACATCATCGACGATCTCATCGGAGGAAGTTCCCGGGGACTGGTGGATCAGCTTCCTTCCCAGCTCGTCACTCACCTGAGGGAGGAGCTGGAGGAGGCGAAGAGAAGCCCTATGGATGAAAAGGTAGACGTCGTCGTAGCTAACATCTCAGACCTAACACCTCCATCATGTTCTCATTTTTTGTGTGCGGTCTTAATTTCTCCGGGTTAATTAAAATGCCTTCCATAGGCCTTTATTCTAATAATTAATAGATTAATATAACTAATTAATGTAATACTTTGTATATGATTCTAACCATATTCAGATGGCGCCAAACACTGACCCCCCCATGCTGTGGGCATACATGCATCTACCCAGTAAGTAAGAAATCATTTTTATCGAAACAGGCACTGAAGATGCTTAAGGACCAGATCCGTAGAGGTGAACTACCTGACTTTGACATGCCGATATTCTTTGGTGAACAAATCGACGCTCTAATAGAGAAACTGAAGCAGCTGTTGAAGGAAATTTTAGCTGACCTTACGTTGAACATGCTGTTCCGTTGCTATGACGACTACGGATGCTTCACCAAGGTAAGCGAGTAGTACGGTAGTTACTGTAGCGACGTATAGGCGTAGAGCAGTTCTTAAACTTTTCTGAGCCATGGACCCATTTGAGAATCTGGTGAAAGCTACGGACCCCTCCCTAGAAAAATGCGCATAACTTAAGTCACAAGCACATAAATACAACAGTTTTATGCGCCTGGTTGACGGACCCCTTAAAGCCCATCCACGGACCCCTAATGGGTCCATGGACCACAGATTAAGAACCGCTGGTGTAAAGGGACAGCCATGAATACGGCAGCACAGCGGTGCGCGTGTATTGGTCGGCGCAACCATGCCCCACACTGCCTTTCACATCCTTTATATTTCGCGAGCATGATATGAAAAAGATATTTGCAGTGTGGAAGATAACAGTAAACGATACTATTTGCTTTCCACTTCTATCTCTCCTTGCATGCTGTCCCCCTTCTCTTCCCCTTCTCTCTCCCTCTCACTCCCGTCTTTCGCCTTCTCTAACTCACTCTCCCCCTCTCTCTCTCTCTCTCTCTCTCTCTCTCTCTCTCTCTCTCTCTCTCTCTTTCTCTTTCTCTCTGACTTTCTGCCCCTCTTTATCTTTCTCTCTGTCTCGTTCTCTCTATTTATCCATCTCTCACCACCCCTCTCCCCCCCCTTCTCTCCCTCTCTCTCTCCCCCTCTCTCTTTCTCCCTCTCTCTCTCTCTCTCTCTTTATCTCCCATCTCGTCCTTCTGGCTCTGTGCTCTCTCCTCACTCGCGCCCTCTCTCTGTCTCTGTCTCTAGAATCAGTAACGTCTACATACAGTCTCTCCGGTAATGACAGATTGGATGGTATTCAAGATGTCGGATGATCAACCAGTTCCCAGACGCACCTAGAGAAGTCGATGTCCAATACAAACTGTACACAAGGGCCAACCTGCCAGACCCCACGGTCGGCAATGCTCAGGTGTTTCGTTGGAGCGAGCCGGAGAAGATCAAGGAATCGTTTTTCAATCCGAAGAAGGAAACTAAGATTCTGATCCACGGATTTAGGCAGGCTACTTACGAGAATTGGCTATGGGTGAGAGTCTAGATTCGCGTGTTCTCGTTACTTCCTTAGTAGCGGATGTACGGTGTCACATGCCACCCTGATTCTCAGCGTATTACTCGGGGTTATTATACCAGAAGTAATACAGTACGGGGACGTTGATGTGTGTGTCTTTATAAGAAGATGAGGGATGTTACCCGATGACGTTTTCCATAGTCAATCTCATGTTAAATCTTCTCGTGAGGGCGACTGGGCGGATTAAGATTAAAAAGGGGAATTTGCGTGCTTTGCTTTGCGGCTTCTATTGCTAACGAATCTAGATAGCTTCTATCGTTAATGATCGTCATTGCTTGTTGCAGGAGATGGGAGCTGAACTACTGGCTGAAGGTGACTATAATGTAATTGTTGTAGACTGGCAAAAGGGCGCAGCGGGATTGTACGCTAAAGCGACCGCCAACGCCAGATTGGTTGGCAAAGACATACAGAACTTGTATGGCGCATTTGGGGTGAGTGCAATCGACCCCCTAATCTTTCACGATTACGTGAGCGTGGTTTGGACCTTCAAACGATGACTTTTGCATACCGCAGACATGAAATGACAGTACGGAACGCAACATTGGCGTGAAATTAAAGGCGGTATTATACCGCGTCAAATATTCAAATATTCGTCAAATTTTCAAATATTCAAATATTCAATATATCGCGTATGCTTTTTCTCCATTTTCAGGATGTTTACGGAGCCCTGAAGGTGAGCGCTAGCAGATTCCACCTGATTGGCTATGCGATGGGAGCCCACGTGGCTGGATACGCCGGTGGACAGGGTCGGGGCATCCGCTTCCTCGGACGAATCACAGGTCAGTAGACGACGGCGTTTAATACGCGTGGTACAACGTAGTGGAGTTATAGTAACTATTAGTATAATCGTATAGTACATATCGTAGTATATAATAGTTGTCACGTATCGTAGGCCTAACTATTAGTAACTATAGTAGTATAAATAACAACTAACAACTAACAACTATTTTGTTCAATTGATGGTAGGTTGAAATTTCTTCACGACATTACCGCAATGCGTAAAGGGCAATTTCGAATATGGATCATATATTTGGCTATTTTTCTTAATACATAGCCTGGCTACGCGATGAATTTCATATTAGTATCATAAGTTATCACGCATTCAGTCGCACATACCACAGCTCTATCATAAGAAATATTCTTCATTGCATTGTGACCAGGGCTGTAGGCTGAGCAAATTTCTAGGGGGGAGCAGTGGCGGATCCACGATTTCAAGGAGAGGGTGAGAAACAGGTGGAGGGTCTGGGGGCCTTCTCCCACAGAAAATTTTGAAATTGTAGATCGCAGGAGATGGTATTTGAGGCACTTTTGAGTACATGTACAGCCTTCATTCTGACTACGACAATTCTCTTTCAGTAGAACAATTTATTTTTTTTAATTTTGTTCCAAAATCTAGAGCTGCCCCCTTGCCTCCCCCCGCAGGCTACGGCCCTGGTGACGAAAACTGCGGCTGCCAGGCATAGTTTAAACATCGACAACACCGAAAATTTACCTGCGGTGAGAGATAACCATCATATTATGCTTATATTTCAAGGGATGGATCCGACCGACCCTAGCTTCCAATGGACGAACGCCTACATCAGACTAGATGAGTCCGACGCTTCGTTCGTTGACGTCATCCACAGTGACAGCAAGGGCTGGCTCAGCGACGCGGGTACGTGGTAAACAACGGCAGGCAGAAATGCTGGGCGGTTGACAACATACATCTGTTCGGTTGACATCATATAACTATAAGTGATTGACATTATATAGCTGAGTGGTAGACAGCAAGTAGATGGGTGGTTGACACCATATAACTGGGTGGTTAACATTATATAGCTGGGCGGTTGACATTATATAGCGGAGTGATTGACATTATATAACTGAGTAATTGACATTATATAACTGAGTGATTGACATTATATAACTGAGTGGTTGGCATCGTGTAGATTGGTGGTTGACACCATATAGCTAGATAGTTGACATCATATAGCTGGGTAGTTGACATTATATTATTTAGTGGTTGACGTTATATAGCTGGTCGGTTGACGTGGGTGGTGGGTGGTTAACATCATATTGCTAGAAGAGATAACGTGGCGAGTCTAAATGCGACTATAATGCATAGATGGGTGGGCCGGGTTAGCTCCTATCGAGTAGACGTGTCTTTGATCTATAACATCAAGAGTGCATACTGTAGACTCTACTGTTATATTGGAGTCTATATCATACACTCCTGATAACATGGCACTCCACCTCTGAAAACTACCATCCTGTCGTTTGCTCTCTGGCAGGTCTCGGAGTGTGGGAACCAGCGGGTCACGTCGACTTCTACCCAAACGGAGGCAAACTGCAGACTGGCTGTCCGAAATCTATTTTGGAGTCGTGGATCGCTAATGGCTATTACGGTATGTGAGTCTTTACGATAGCACATACTCGGCAATAAAGCGCTTGATTTTTGTCTCGGGTCGACTGTACAAATGAAAGCTAGCTGATCCGAAGTTGAGGAACAATAATAATTCCACGGTTCAGGGTCAAGAATCCGCTACGTCGAATTAATGTCATAATATCGTGTATCTGAGATCATGGCGATCAATACCACAGAATTGAACCACTATCCCGCTGAGACAAATATCGATGTGCGTGGTCAATATCTCACAATGTAGGATCAGTATCACATTTTGAGGATAGTATCCCGAAATGTAGAGCTAATATGATGGTGTAGCTAGTCTGCCAAAGCTTATTCCCATAGTAACACGAGGATAGCGTATCGCACAAGAAAATTGCGGGTAGAGAATGAGAGGGTAGAAGAAAATCGTATTAAATGAGCAATATCTCACCAGATGAGCTATATTTTGTGATGAATAATGCATTTAATATGGTTAGTGGGTATCTCAGCACAGAGATATGTAGTAAATTCTTATCAGTAAACCTGTGTTAATACTCAGGAAAGCGCCCTAGCCTGTAGGGTACCGGCTGCATATATACCGGTCAGTACACAAGCTGGCTACATTGGTGTATTAGCGCATGCGCAATATCTCACCGGAGAAGTTATAATTTGTGATTAATATGCATTTAATATGGTTAGGGGCTATCTAAGTATAGATTTATGTAATAAATTCTTATCAGTAAACCGGTGTTAATAATCAGTAAAGCGCCCTAGCCTGTAGGGTGCAAAGCTCCTACTTCATCTCCTCCCATCCTTCTCCTTGGCTGTCTTTTCCCTCGCTCAGCCTCTTTCTTCTTCCTCCGCCCTCAGTTATCCTCCCTGTTGCATTTCCTCAGTCTCCCACCCAGTCTCTCTCAGCAAGCTATATTGTGCAGTTTTCATCAGTCCGTCCTGCACGCCTGAAACGGTGGACCGGTGAAGTGGTGTTAATAAGATGGAAAGCGCCATAGCCTGTAGGGTGCCAGCTGCATATACCAGTCAGTACACAATCTGGCTACGTTAGTGTATTAGCGCATGCGCAATATCTCACCAGAGAAGTTATAATTTGTGATTAATATGCATTTAATATGGTTAGGGG